CATAAAATGATTTTTAATAACTATCTTGTAATGGTTGTAACTTTCGAGTTACTGTACTTATGTAAAAAAAAAAATGGGAAAAATATATTTGATTTATATAATTGTAAGTAATTTAATAGGTACCTAGGAAATATTATATTAGGACTATTATTGTAATTGATATATATAGAATATCATTAGAGAGAGGTGATACATTGCAAAATAATTAGTTTATTGTATTCAAATATACTTTTCAAAAAATAAAAATGAATACGAAGTTCATTAGCCTTGCCAATTCCTTACACTGATCTTTTGAACAATTAAATCATGTTAAAAGTACATACATGCCCAGAGGTAATTTTCCAAATAATTTATTAAATGATTAATAGTTCATATCACATGAATTTGAAAAATTCTTTATTGTATAGCAGATGCCCATGGTGGAGTCATGGGTTGTGGATTTTGTAAGTAGGACATTACAACTGCTGAGATAGATAACATAAAACTACTGAGAATTTGTTTAGTATCGTCGGTCACTTTAGAATTAGCGAAACTAATACATGAACAATATAATGCAACCCATGCACACCATTTTAATCTCATCATTAAACCACACATACTGAAGATCATTCCTAATATATTCATGTAGTCTGGAGTCGAATTGTCCCCAGCTTGTGCCTGACTGCTGGATACACTCGGTTTGTAACGAATTTCTCGTTCTGGACGTCTAGGATCTGATGAACTATTCATTTTATAGTACTGAAATATAAATATCAAGATCACTCATCGATAATTTATTACAATGTGTTAATATGCGAAATTGTTAGGTTATCAAATTGAAATAAGCTCATGTTACCATGAATTAATATTGGATGATAATGATTGACAAAGTTATATAAATTTACTTACTAGTGCTATACGATATAAGCTGTGAAAAATGATTTAATATGGAGAATTTTGTTGTTCAAATGGAGTTTACAGTGCTCACTAACACAGTACTAAATATAATGATAGTGCAAGAAGCAGACTTGGAGAAATTGCGTGTAAAACTCAAAGATTTTGTAGGGATTAACTGGGACTTCACTGACTTCGCGTTTTAGTAATTATTACAGGCATAAACAGCTTATTATTTTTAGAGCTATAATACTTTAGCACTTCAACACCAACGTGTATGATACATCGACCACATCGACACATCCCTGCCACGTACTCTGCGCATCATGCAATGCATGCGATGCACGCCGGTATGTGTACCATGTATTCACCCACTGCCACTGTGTGTCAGCCGTACAGCATAGTTCCTATAGTTGGAATCCAACACAACATCTATCTCAGTTAATTATTATAAATATGTTAGCTATTTTAAGTGTTAAATAATAAATAAAGAGATGTATTGTCTTTAAGAGGTGAATAATATTGGCACAAACAAATTATTCTATATGTCGATGATGACTGCTGGGGCTCCACAAATACCTTATATTTGACGTGCAGCATACGAGCTTGTTATTTGACGTGTGCATGTGTGTATATAATAACTCGTGAGCCGGTTGATGACTGATTCAAAAGTTTGTTGACTTCTTTTCAAATACAATTTGTCGTATAAAGAAATGCTTGTTCAAGGTTCATGCATCTACCTGGCAACTGCTCATAATATATTTTCGAAAGATCTAATGTGCAGTGTTTAATCTAAAAAATTATAATTTACGTAATTCAAATGTATAACGGTTTAAACAATGTAAACTTCGTTTTTCATAAAAGTTTTATTACTACAAGGAGAATATAGTAAGGAGTTCCTTTTTAGTCCTATTTAATTTATGTTTATCCCTTTTTAAGAAGTTGAGTTTGATACCGTGTTAAACTTATTACAGGGATAACACATTCCATAATTATGGCGAAGTCTACAGACACATTCCTCTGGACTTCAAAATTACAATGTCCATCAACAATATGCAATGAATCTGTAAAAAACATGTTTGTATATTTTTGAACATCTGTTTTCATGTATA